TGAAGTTGGATATTTGGTTCAATGGTTTGGTGCTAAGTGTAAAATACCCTGCAGGATGCCTTACAGAATAATGAGAAGGTTTCTAAGTCTGTTGATGCTACAACGGCCTCAAATTTTGCATCATCTTCACTTCCATGGTAATGATCTGACTGCAGAACTTTAGTTTCAAGCTTTTCATTTGTTTGAGCTCTTATTCGGCTTGTTTCTCATAATTCAGTGGTCATGGCGACTCTGCTAAGTTGGACTCTTTTGTTCCATCCATGGAGGCTGCAAAGCCATGCTTCAAGAAAGTTGAGAAATGCAGTGAAAACGCTCTGCGGAGTGTATCTGAGCTTCATGTTGGCGATGAGAAGCAGACTGGTTCTAGCAAATTTGATATGGTAATAGTCATTCTTCCTCTTGCAATTGATCATATGTTATAATGCTAGCTAACATTTCTAATGCTTTATTTTAGGAAAAAGTACTGAAAGGGTTTGGAGCTCGTGATGCTTTTATGGCTTCTGGGCTCAATGCTCCTAATGGACAAGTTGGTGATACTGCGTTGAAGTCTTCAGACCTATTCCCGTCTAAGATCACCATTCCAGGGAAAAAAGCTCCCCTGGATTTTACCTTAAAGACTAGTTTGCAGTTTGTTTCATCATCATCTGTGAAGTGGTGGGTGTGCACTAGCTTCTCTTGCTCTTCTGTATTGAAATTTTGCCAGTTAGAAACTGTATTAACATGGTGTCTATGTTGCTTGAACCTATAATATTTCCTCAGTGGGCATTCTTAAAACTATGTTTGACCACATGCCAGTTATAACCTTTTTTAGTGCTATACTGATTTGCAAAGTACTGATAGTCATAGCTTGTACTGCTTGTAACAGGTGTCACAAGCTCAATACAAGTTATGGCAGAAGCAGCATCACTGGAGCCATTGGTCAGATCTGTCCTCGCGGGTGTCAAAATTCAGAGTGCCCAAAGCCTGAGAGCAATAAGGAATTCTTGTTCTCAAAGGCTCTACAATCATGGGTATATCCACAATCGCAGTTGCCTTCCTCTATCATATCTGCTATGCTCTCATCAACTGTACGAGGAGGTAATCACTAAACCTTAATTGCTCCTTTCTGTGAATGTAATTCCATAAAAGTGATACTCTTTGCCTTGTAGAAAGTGATTTTCTTCTCAAAAGACATCAGGACTGGGAAGATTCATTTCAGAATCTTTACTACATGCTCCGGAAGAACATGTTGAATATATTCTATGGTACCTTACTTCACAGAGCTCATATTATTTGCACAAAGGACAGTGTCACGTTCTTTTTCAGAAAAAAAGAAGTAGCTCATCATAAAAATACCTATAACCTGACATTTACCTATGGTAAGCACTAAGCAGGTTACTACATTTCATTTTTTACATGCTGAAGAGTAGCATTTGCACCTGTACTTCTATAAACAATGTTATTTCTTGTGCCTTACACTTTATTCAAAACATAAAAGAGAGCACATAGTGATACATTTTACTCAAGGTCATCTTCATATGTGGTTCCATTTTGTGTTCCTTGTCAGTTCTGAATTTTTGTTATTCTATATCACATTATTATTCTGTCTAACCTCATCAACAACACTGACTGAACATTACTTTGTTGTTACAGTTTATACAACACAATTTGTTGCTCTCTTCATTGGTGGAAGCTGTTTGGAGAAAAAACAGTCCAGTAACGCCTACTTATCACTATCTACACGTGGCCTACGCTCATTACTACGTAAACATGTGAGTTCATTCTGATTTATTTCTGTCAGTAATATTTCTACAGTATCAGTTTTTGATGCTTCACATTTTACATATTCCTTGACACTATAGTTTCTTATTAACCATCAAGACACTGCATGTTTTACTAGCAATCATGGTTTTTGAGGCGTCACCTAGCCGTCGCCTAGGCGTACCACCAGCGCCACAGGACGTGGCAATGCCTCAAACCATGCTAGCAAATGATATTGATGTGGAGTCGATACATGTGGGCCATTTTTTCAATTGCCAACTATATTTGTTGGATGAAATCATTTGTCTACCATTGCCTGGTATCATAATGGGACTGATACAATTCAAGCTTATCTAACCTTTTTTTTTGCTCTATACCACTTTAAATCTTTTTATCTGCATGGATCATCATTGTAACCACATTTGTTTGCACTGTTGCAGGGTGTTTGCTTTTCTATGCCTCTTTGCAACACTGAAGTGGAGCAGGCTACTGAAGATGACCTTATTGAACTTTCAGAAATCCAAAGGCGCAATCTTGGACAGGTTTTGGTTTCCTTCCAGTTTTCCTTGTTTTGCTTTAGTTACTCTGCAGGTACCTACTTGATATAAAAACAAAGATAATTGAACCTGCAGGCACTCCATTTGGATGCTTTATCTGATGTGGACAACACCACGCAGTCACTGCTTTCATTTACTGGCAATGAGAATGTTCATGGCTTATACGATGTTCTGTTGAATTACAAGTACGGTGCATCTCATTATTTTGTCATCCCATTCTTGTTTGCCTCGAAAATTCTGTTGTATAAGGTGATCTTGTGATTCTTCAGGTCCTTGCTAAGTTCTTTATCTGCTGTGGACGTCCCAGTCTTATATTCACCCCAGCCATTTCAAAATGGCTGCCTACATATTCCAGAGGTCAATTTTCAATTCTCTTTATATTTTTTTGTTGTGCCTGCCTCTTTAGTTCCTTTTTGTTATTAGACTAGAAAACTTTGTGACTTCAACTCTTCTATTTACGAAGAAAGAGAACCATGTTAATGTGACCTTTGTTAGAAATGCAAACTGATGCATGCGGGAGCTCTGCCCTTATTGCAAATGCCTAATTGAATTTGAAGCTGCCATATCATGCTTTAAATGTTTTGATTCTGTATTAGTGCAGTGGAAAGAGCACATTGAACTGTGTATCAGCCTTTAGACTGAATTGTGTATTTGCAAAGTTTGATTTGAAAAAAAATCTGATCCTCTGAATCTATGCATCTCTCAGGTGAAGTGCAGGGAGATGAGGAGAGCAGACATGGGGCTGCTCTCATCCGGCGGGTTCGACACAGAACAGGGGTCAGCATTTGCCTCAACGACAGGCAACATCTGCTACAGCATGGAAGTAAAGGACGCGGTTCTCCCACCATGGGTCGTCTCTGGACTCTGCGCCGCGATGAGCCTGGACGCGACCAGCTTTGATCTAACGTACGCACAAGGATACTGTATCTCTCCCATTCGACATCGCGTGCTTAACTCTAGTTTTGTGCTGAGCTTTCTTCGTTGGTTCTCACAGGATCGCTACGGAGCCTTCGTCGATGGGCTTGAACGTGGCCCTCAACTCCATGGGCACCACCACGAATGCCCAGCCTGAAGGAGCGCCCCCTTCCAACGGCTGTGCGCCTGCGCCTTTGGTGGGTGGCATTCCTCACGCTGTCCTTGTCCCCTCCCTGCACTCCGCCTCGGTGCGGCGCCTCAGCTACACCGACGGCGGGTACGTTGCGCACACAACCGTGTGAGCTCAGCTTGAGGTGGCCTCGGTTCCTGCCCCCGAGCGCAGCAGCCTCTTTTGCTGCTCGTCTGGCAGTCGGGTGGGTGGGAGGAGGGTTCTTCTGGCGTCTGTGCGGTCGGGCCCCCACGACGACAAAACGAAGCCTAGGGATTCCTGCATCTCCCAGCGCTGGCTGCGTATCATGTGCCGGTTGTTCTTGTAATTTTGGAGCCTGCCCTCGGCTTTGTCGTACACGGACGTGTCGTTACACGCTTGGTTGGATGGTAACTAAATTATGAGGCCAGCCTTCTGGTGGTCTGGAAAAGGGAACAATTCTACTTGTGCATCCATCAATATTCACCTGTGCTTGGTGTTTTATTTTCATCTCTTGTGCTTGGCCGTTGTACTGTCGTTTAAAGTTTGTTCCTTTTCAACGTTACTTTTATAGTACTGTTTGTGTGGGCTGCAACTGCAAGGCTGGCAGTCAAGGGCTAAGCAAGCCTGCTGTTTGAATTTCGATGGCAACGTTCGTTCTGCGATGGACAGCGGACGGTTTCTTCTTTACTTGCTGTTTGAATTTCAAGGGCAAGCTCTGTTCGTTTAGCTTATAAATCATACTTTTTCAGCAACGAATAGTATTTTTCTTTCATAACAAATCAGTTAACGGTGCTTTCAGTCATGGCTTCCAACCGTCCAACCACAGTTGACGAACGGAACGGCAGAGACTGAGCCGACGCTCGTGCTCCCAAAACTGCCGATCGAATTTGTTTTCCCGCCGTTTCTCATCGCCACAAAAATGGGCGGGAAATGTTATTATATTACACTCGTAATAATAATACAAAATCACAGGGCAGGGCAGGGAAAATAAAACGAAACCGGGTCTTGTTTAGATTAGGGTTAGGAATTAGTATTTGACATTGTAGCTCTTTTGTTTGTATTTGATAATTATTGTCCAATCATGATCTAATTAGACTTAAAAGATTTATCTCGTAATTTACAATCAAACCGTGTAATTAGTTATTTTTTTTATCTATATTTAATACTCTATGTATATGTCTAAAAATTTAATATGATGAAGAGAGAGTGAAAAACTTACAATCTAAAGCAGGCCCGGACGAGGAAGAGTCTCCCGGTCCCATTCCCTACTACCCAGGAGGCTAGAACCAGGACCAGGTGGTCCACCAACCATCACCTCTCCCGAGACATCCTCAACGCGAGTGCCTGTCGCATGATCCCGAGACAGGAGATTAGCGCGAGCCCCGAGGCAGCAAGTCTTCTCCAGGCGGGCCCCGCACACCCCGTCTCTCCCTCCAGGGCTGCCGCTCAGCGCTCAGCTCCCCCGCAACGCGACAAATTGGCAAAAGCATTCCTCTCTTCTTCTACTACTGCCCGAGGAGGCTCTGCTGCTGCTGCTAGCAAAAAGCTTCGTCCTTTCCTCTCGCTCGCTCATTCCACGTTCGTTCCTCCCACACCCATTCCCTCCTCACTACTTTTCGCGTTGCGCTCGGCGGCCCATGACCATGAGCGCCTGCGGCGGCGGCGGCGGCGCCGGGGGCATCAGCCCCGCGTCGCGCTTCCTGCGCCGCCGCGCCGCCGTGCGGGACCTGGGCGGGGAAGTGGCCGGCGACCCCGACTCCGACGCCTTCTGGGCCGCCGCGCCCCTCCTCTACGACTTCTCCCAGCAGCAGCCCACGCCCCAGCGGCCCGCGCGGCGATCGCCCTCGCCGGCGCCGACCAGCCCGTGCCTCCTCGCCCGGAAGCGGCACAAGGAGCGGTCCCCGTCGCCGCCTCCGTCCCCGCGGCGCTCGCCCGCGTCGGGCGGGACGACGACGACCTGCCTGCTCTCCGCCCTGCACCGCACCTGCGTGGGCTGGGGCGTCACGAGGCGGGCCGAGTACCCCAGCCGGTACCGCCCGGCTTCTCCCACCGCTTCTGGACTCGGGATGCGCGTGCACCAGCTGGCGGCGGCTCGGTGCGTGGGCGAGGACGAGGAGAGCACCAGCGGCTCCGTCAAGAGGAGCAAGTACCTCGGGGTGGTGGTGGGCAAGAACGAGCAGCAGGAGGAGGAGCAGGTGGCGCCGGCGGTTGGTCAAGATCAAGAGAGCGGCCGTGAGGAGGAGGAGGACAATCCCGTGGTGGACAAGGCGAGGAAGGCGAGGAGCAGGAAGAGGGCGAGGTGGAGCCGCCGGCGCCGCGGCGCCGCCAGGCGCGCCAAGAAGGCCCCGCGCGTCGTCAAGGAGGAGCAGGAGGAGACGTCAGGCGAGGCGTCGGCGGAAGAGGACGTCAAGCCTGCGGTGGCGGTGAAGGCGGAGGAGGAGCCGAGGGAGGGGAGGAAGAGGGCGGCGGCCACGGCGAGTGCGCGTGCCCACGTCGCCGCCAAGCGCGGCAAGAGGACGACCCCTCCGAAGCAGGAGGAGGAGAAGGGGGAGGTGGCAGCGGCGGCGGCGGCTGAGAGCAAGCCCGCCACCGCCACTCCCGACCCCGGCTCGCCGCGCGGCAAGGTGGACCGGTGGTCGGCGTGGCGGTACGCGGCGGGCGAGGCGACGCTCGTCGACATCCTGCGCGAGCGCGGCGCCACTGCCGGCAACCCCGCGCCGCGCGCCGACCTGCGGGCGCAGGCGCGCCGCCACATCGGCGACACCGGCCTCCTCGACCACCTCCTCCGCCACGTCGCCGACAAGGTCCCCGCCGGCAGCGCCGACCGGGTCCGCCGCCGGTATAACCCGGCCGGCGGCCTGGAGTACTGGCTCGAGCCGGCCGGACTGGCGGCCGTGCGGCGGGAGGCCGGCGTCGATGACCCGTACTGGGTGCCGCCGCCCGGGTGGAAGCCCGGAGACCCCGTGTCGCCTGAGGCCCGCACGCTCCAGGTGCAGAAGCAGGTGGAGGAGCTCACCGGCGAGCTTGCCGTCGTAAAGAGGTCTCCTTTCTCGTCTTCTACTTGTAGTCTCATGGATTGCTGCTCCTTCTTGCAGCTATGATGAATGTCGATGATACTCTGATTAGATTCTTGAACGCAGCAAGTACTGGTAGTTGTTTCTTTGCTGAAATTGACTTGTGATTTCCATGAACTGAAGGCAAATGAAGCAGCTCGACTCCAATCTGGTGCAAGTGAGCAAGGAAGCCTACATCTCATGGAAGGTGATCACACATCATACCTTGTTGATATGAATCTCATTCCTGTCTTTCACTGTTCAGATTTTCGGTAAACTTCTAGTGCAGAACTGAAAACAGGGTATCCATGTGTGACACTCTCACACATAGTTGTGCCTGTGCTCTGCTCTTGTAAATTGTAATGTTGTACACGTGTCTAGTTCTGGCTGGATGTTGGTGTTTGATTTCAGATGTTGTTAGCTACATTTGTACTGTGCATAAAAATTGGTAGAACAGCAGCATATTTTGCTTAGCTTTGCTCCACTTGTTACCGTCACCTCTCTGAAGTTGTGAATCTGTCATTTATGTGCTTTACTTGTCACATTGCTTCATCGTGCTTAAAGTCGACCTTTTAATCTGCAATTCTGTACACACACTGGAACTACACTCATGCCAATATAATGTTAAACTGCATGTCTGTTTCCATTAGTACTTAAAGAACTTGATGAAGAATCAAAAGTTCATAGTTTTTGTTCATTGTAGCATTTTAATCTAGATAGGTAGCTACCCTCATTGGTCTAAATATGTTCATGAATCATGATCTTAATGGCAGGGGTATGACTGTATGGTGAAGGCTAATGGCAAGCTGGAAAAAGAGGTGCTGTCCTTGGAGGTATGCTTCACCTTACTGCTTCCTAAGTTGTTAATCTAATTTGATGCAAGATTTATATTTCTGATCCCATTACTTATTCAGTGTACCCCAACTTGCTTGGGAGTAAGAGGTTTGTTGTTGTTGAATCCATTAATTATTTGCTAGCTTAATTCGGTGATGGCCATGACTTATTGTGGGTTCTCATTTTCAGGAGAAGTATGAGAATGCGGCACAGGTGAATGGGGAGCTGAAAGAGCTGCTGCTGTTACTGAAGGTACATCACTACATTCAATCAATCTTCACAATTTGCACCTCAGCAAAGTTACGTATCTTTCTGGTAACATGTGGTACCTTTGTATGATGAAGTATTGATCTGAAGCTCTGGATCTGTTTTCCAGGATAAGTATGATACTGTGCTTGAGAAGAATGAGAAACTGGAGGGCCAGATGGTTGCTCTGTCCACTTCTTTCCAGTCCATGAAGGTACACTCACTATTTATTTAATGCAATTGAACTGCACAGATATTTGGCGGACTGCTGCTCTGTAGTTTCTTTGTTTTGCCTCACTTTGAGACGTGCCTCATTGTGTATTTAGCAGTAGCAACCATCAGTGTACTGATAGAACATTGCTTGTGCATTGGACTGTATGTGCAGGAAGAGTTGCTCCTGCAGAGAATTGAAGAACAACCTCTTCTGATGCTAGCGCAAGAGCCTTGGGATGGTGACAAGCAAGAAGCCGGTGCGAACAATGCTTTGGTGTGTGCAGGCAACCAGCTGACTGATGCTGATGCCGTCGATGGCAGCTTCAGCAGCGATCACAGTGCCTGTGATGACGAGAAGATGGCGCTGAGGAAGGGTATCTGCATGCGGGAGGGAGCATGCCAGTGGCCTAGGTCTGCTGCTTCCGGTGGCAAGGCCGGCAGCCCTGGGGACCTGCCAGAGCCGCTGACTCCCGGCGCGGATCTGGTCATCGCCGACTTCGACACCATGATCAATAGCCTCGCGCCACCGTCCATGGAGGACTACCTGCTGGCCGATGGTCTCCCCACGCCGACGTCGGCCTCGTCCACCAACGCCTCTCCCAAGTTCCAGCTCCTCCCCTCACCGGCCTCGCCAATCCAGGTCCAGCCTCTGCCGTCAACAACCATGGTCATGGGCGACCTCGACCTGCAGCTCCGGCACACGGTGAGCTAGTCTAGTCCTCCTTAGTGCCCTGCTTCCTGCTCCCCCCCCCCAAAAAAAAATTGTGTCTCGACAATTGACATCTCTAGGTCGTGCCACCAATGAACAGTGCACACACATGACCGTGAAGATGACTGACCTCTGCCGGGCCATTGTTACAGCCACAGGACATGTCGTCTACGTCATCAGGACCGTGCGGTGCCAAGGCGCTGAATCTCGACGCAGGAGCTGGAGGTGGCGAGGTTGGCACTGAGCTGGTCCTGGCGACCCCCACCTACTGATCCGACGCTGACGAGCTCCGATGAATGGACAGATGACCACTGAAGTTTTTGCCTCGCCGTCATTATATTAAGGCTGTGTTTAGTTCAAAAATTTTCCCAAAAAGTGCTACAGTATCTATCACATCGAATCTTGTGCTATGTGCATGGAGCATTAAATGTAGACGAAAAAAAAACTAATTGCATAGTTTGGTTGGAAATCGCGAGACGAATGTTTTGAGCCTAATTAGGGCCTGTTTAGTTTCATCCAAAACTCAAAAAATTTTGCGCAGTATTCATCCCATCGAATCTTGCGGTACATGCATGGAGTACTAAATATAGACGGAAAAAAACTAATTACATAGTTGGGTGAGAAATCGCGAGACGAAACTTTCGAACCTAATTAGTCCATAATTAGACACTAATTGCCAAATACAAACGAAAGTGCTACAGTACCCAAAACCCAAAACTTTTGCCAACTAAACAGGCCCTTAATCCATGATTAACACTAATTGTCAAATAAAAACGAAAGTGCTATAGTACCAAATTCTCAAATTTCACGAACTAAACACAGCCTAACCCATCTCACATCTCAGAGCATAGCACACAGGATAGGACAGGATAGCTGCAGAAAGACAGAAGAACACCCGAGACGAGAAGATAGATTACCTACCCCTTCTTTACCTTTGCTGAACTAGGCCATGCATTATGCTGATTCTTCTCCTTTAATTGTCAGTCAGTAGTTGTCACTAGTTTCAGTTGGAACTTAGTTGCAGGTGGGTTTTACTTACAGCTGAGCACCATGCTGCTGCTGCTTAATTCCTACAGTAGTTTGTACTTATGGTTGGAGAAATGGTCTGCCACTCTGTTGAAGTCAAATGCTCACCAGGAGCATGCATCAGAGACAAGGATGTTTTGATCTCGTGATGAATTGCACAGACTGCTTATAGATTAGCGTATTCAGGAGTGTTTTTTTTTCGAATGCTATTTGTTACTGTTTAATTACATTTGCCACGATAACATCACCCAGCGGTCCATGTCCATCGAGTCGAGCAGCTTTCTTGTACTGCACGCGCTCGGCGTGGTGAGGCTTGCCGTACTCGTCGAGCATGCATGACGCATGACGGTGAGCGAGCCCTTGCCCTGAGGCAACCTCCAGGACAGCGCGGCACGGAGGAGCTTCTGTCTCCTCGCAAATACGAGGCGGACGGCGAGGGATGGAATTGTACAAGCTTGTTTGGGAAGAGAAAGCAGATTAGCAGAACAGAGCAGCGGTAGTGCAACCACGCCTCTGCTCGTGGGTTGGACTCTAGTTTTGGCACTGGCCTCTTGTTTTGCAGAGGTTTGAAGTCGGGTTTTATTCTGTGCCTAGTGTTGGATACACAGGTGAATCCTGTCTGTAGCACACAGCACAATGTTGGGTACGCAGGTCGCTGCACACATACATGCCTCTGCTCATGTATTCTAGCCGGCCACCCTTCCTCCGTTGCCCCTCCCCCAACCTCCACCACTGGCGGCCGGCGGCTCCCGCCGCCTCACCGCGCTGCCCACCTCCCGCCCCTCCCCTAAAGCTCCGCCGCGACGCCCTCGCCCTGCCCCATCACTGCGGCCAGCGGCTTTTGCTGCCTCGCTGCGCCACCCACCATCCACCCCCGCCACCCTAATCCTAGGGCAGGACGATGGCAAGCTCCTGCCGTGACACCCCCACTGCCAGCCCCGCCCCGCCCCGCCATCGTCTCGCCCGCCTCCCCCAAAACCCCCCTTCTAAGCCTGCCAATGAGGATATCGAAACTAACACCAGCGAGCTTCTTGTCTTCGACATCGGTGAGCTCCTCGCCAGAACCCTATAGCTGCCTTCTTCCTCTCCGGTGCGGTCGCGCGTCGCGCGAAGGATCGCGTAAAAGAATTAACTTTTTTGTTCCATGCGCGCGTGCCTCCCCTCACCACTCAGTCTCAGGTGCTCAATATGTTGCATGTGGGGCCTCAACTCCAAGTATCGCCATGCCATCTCCGTCATACACCGCCAAGCACCTCTCTACGTACGGGGCTCCTCCTCCTATATTCTTCTTGAGGATCTTTATGACAGGGAACATGTGAAGGAGTCCCATCAGGCCCTTGCCGCCATCGACAGCAGTGGCTCCGGTCCTCCGGCGGCGGCTCCAGCGTCAAAGCCCTCGGGTTCTGGTCCAGCATTGGCTACCTCAATAAGAAGCGTCGTAGCCGTGGCCTTGGAACCTTTCTGACCGACGGCATCACCATAGAACCATTCTTCCCAAGGCTTCGATTCGGACATGGGTTAGCGCCACGTCCTCCTACAACGCCATGGACCCCAGGCTTGGCCCATGCCTTTTCGTCGGTTCCCTGGCGTTGGTGTTCTGGGCGGGTCGGCCTGGCACATCGCCTCACCAGGTTTACTTCTCCACGGATGGCATTCCCACCCAAACCAGTCCCCTTCATCTACAGGATGTTCTCATTTCGACATTTAATTTCCCGTAGTCTGATTAAGAACCTAATCTCTATCCATGCTCTGACTCGCGACAATAATGTTTCTATCGAGTTTGACCCATTTGGTTTCTCCATAGGTCCATCTATTTGCGGTTGCCATTCACTCAAGCTCTCCTCGCCGTAGCGCCCCTCTCTCTAGTGCCAACCTCAGCACGAGCCGCGTTGCGGGATCCCAACTGGCGCGCTGCCATAGAAAATAGGAGTTCAAGGCACTCCAGTCCAGTCGAACAATACCTGGCACCCTGTCGATCGCTCACATGGCGCCCACATCGGCAAATGGGTGTTCTTCTGTTGTACATTGGCCACTAATCTTCTATTGTACATGTAATCCGGAGTACAAGCTAGCTAGCTAGGTGAGTGCATCTAGGTGGTCAACAAAGCGATCAGCTAGCGGGGCCAAGCAGCCATTGGCAAAGCTCAGCAGCTTGGATGCCGTAGCCCTTTGGAGACGACAAGGTGGACATGGATAATCCTATTCCTAGTTGATGTAAAAACTAAACTGGAAATTAATCAATTGGGTGTGCATCAAAATTTCCTCCAAAACGATCCGGGATGGAAGCAGTGGTGGACGTAGGATTATGAAATAACATGATAAGCCTTAAATTCAGAGATCAAGCTAGCTAGAAACTAGGACAACTTATGATATAAATAGTTCAAATGCAAATAGTTCAAAATATAGCCGTAAAAGAGATTTATAATACTACTTGTCCGACTTGTTTACCTACCGCTTTATGAATGACATAAATGCCTCGATTATATCATTCTCATCCACTTAGAAGAAAATATCCGGCTCAATGATTTTGACTAGACAATCATTCGAAGCTTAGCTAATTATTCCTTTACTTTGTTTGCACTATAATCAATGCAGAAAATACCCTTTCAATACTTGCCGTTGCCATCATAAAAGCAATATCAATTTGAGGAGCAAGTAAACCATATCATACGCTTTGTGCCTTTGTGTTTCAACAAGCTTAACTGAGAGGTCAATAATTTTGTCTAGACCTTTGAAGCTATCATCTCGTCACATGACGTCAATACAAAGTTGCAATTCAAGTTTTAGCAAATCATTGTTGGAGAACTCCTTAGGGTAGAATTCCGCCAATCTAAGTGCATCAAAATAAGCATGAGTTGGAAGGACTGAAGGCTAACATACAAGAGAGTACCTCCATATTGATCTCATCAAACCAATTATGATGCTCTTGACTAATTTGATCAATGACATTGATATATACTTCTCTTTTGAAATGGTCATCATTTGTTTGGTTTAGGGCACGGGCATACCCTGCCGAATTTTCATAAGGAACATAATCACCATCCAGAGCAGGAACATTATGATTAATGCAAAAAGAAGTGACCGTCCTCTCAAGAAATTGATCCCAACCATCGGACCTCAATTGTTGCATTCTGATTTTTTGCCACATTAACAAGTGAGATTGCAATAAGAATATCTTGATCCCTTGTCTGCAAACACTCGGATAACTCATTTGTGTATCCAAGAATTAATAACATAACATACATCAAGTGCGCAAAGAAAACAAACTCAAAGGTTTCAAATGCTCCAAGCACAAATTGTATCTTTGTCCAATCATCCTATGTGAAATATCATCACCAAGATCAATGTTTACATCATGGATATTGAGGAATACATAGTGATGATGATGCATATAGTTTTGTAATGAGAGCCCCACCGAGTCTCACCAGGTCTAGGCAAACCCATATCTTTCTAGTCCACAATTCAAGCTCACAAAACTCAAGTACTTTCTTGATATTCTCAAGCCTAGCATTTCGAAGCATAGAATGACGCTTGCAAGAAACTCCAACAATATTAAAACAAGATAGATACTTGATGAGAAAAGCTCTTACAATCAATATTTCCCTTGGCAATAGCAACAAGAGAACTATACTAGTTGGAGTTGATGTGCAAAGCAATGAATATAATACGCAGAAGGTAATTCTTGCATGACCAATGTTTTTATCCCTTTAATTAATATCTCCTTTCATATTGCTAGCCCCGGCCCATCATAACCTTGACCTATGGTTTGAGTCACATAGTCAATCCATGACTAACAAGTAAACCTTGGTGCAAGTTTTTCACAACCAATAGACGGTCCGGTGGAAGCTTTTAATTTCCCATCTATAATCGGTGTTTGCGTTTGCGTTTTCACAGCAGACAGACGGTCCGGTGCAAGCTTTTTTCATCAACCCATAGTCGGCGAGTTTCAGCGCTTCAGTGAGGATTGTCCGGTGCATGCCTGTAGCGCTGGACTGTTTGCCGGTGCTCCTATTTGCTTGCCTCCTTATCGCTTGCCTCACCCATGTCGGCGACAGCGTTCTCACCTCCTCCTCGACTTCGGTGGACTAAACTACCCGGCTTCCTCTAAACCTTCTCACCGCCACCGAACACCTCCTTCACTGGCAACCTAGCGGCTCCAATACCACTTGTTGGAGCAGGCGGTGCCCTGCGCTAGAAAGTGAACGTCGTCGGCGGCGTGGTGACCGCGGCGAGACTTAGTAGATGG